TGATGGTTCAGTAGTTAAGAGCACTTAACTGCTCTGCCAGAGAGCACTGGGTTCGATTCCCAGCACCCACATGGTTGCTCACAACCATCTGTAACTCCAGTTACAGAGGATCTGACTACCTCTTCTGGCCTCTGTGGGCACCAGCCTTAAACTCGGATATACCATACAGACACATAAAAAGTTTTTTCTAACATTCTATAAAAAGCATAAGTGTAACACTATATAAACTAAGAAAAAAATAGAGCTCATCTCAGTAGATACAGAAAAATCTGATGAAATTCTAAACTCATAATATTACATTTAAAAGCAGGGAAAAAAATGTCCTGGGGATGTAGCTTAGTCAGTAGAGTGCTAGCCTAGTATGCAGGAAGCTCCGGATTCAGTCCCTAGCACAGCATAAAGCCCAACGTGGTGACTGTAGGAACTCAGGCGCTATGCTAGCCTGCCCCTGTCACCTGCAGAATGTTCTCAGGCAGTACCCTAGTCAGCTCAGGTGCAAAGGACCTTTTAAAAGAAAGGTCTCCGCCCACTTGCGCTCTCTCCTCCCTATGGTTCACCTGGGGCGGACAGGACTTTTCCTGTCTTGCCTTTCTGTACTGTCCTCTATCTCTGTCTCTTTACCTCTTTCCTCACCCCACCCTTTCTAATAAAATTCATTAAGCCCTGGCATGTTTGTCCCTCCGCCTAGGTTACCTTTGCCTACCATGGAATCTGCCAGGTAGGTTACCTTTGCCTGCCATGGAATCTGCCAAGGTCCCCCTCAAGCTTTATCACAGCATGGGTGCCTTGAATCAGCAGACAGGACATTTAAAGAGACAGATAGACTTAAGTGATGGCATACTTTTAATTCCAACAGTTGGAAATGGAGGCAGAAAGATCAGAAGTTCAAGGTCATCCCCAGATACATAGTGAGTTCAAGGCCAACTTGGAATATATGAGACCCTATCTCAAAACTAGCTCGAAAAAGAATAGAAATTTTTTGTGAGTGGTGGTATTGGGGAACAAACCTAGGCCTTGTATGTGGTACTGAGTGTAATTTCAACACACATTTTTAATCTTAGAATCTACAAATATCTTACCAACAACATACTTGAAGGTGAAAACAGGATCCTTCCCCTTAAAAGACTATCTGTGGTAACATAGACCTGCAATTCTAGCTCTTGGAAGGCTGAGACAGGAAGGCTCAAACGTCAACATCAATCTGGAGAATGAATATATATATATATATATTCCATCTGTCTGGGACCAAAAGAGAGGGAGAAGGGGAGCAAAGAGGCAGGCCAGGAGTGGTAGTGCACACCTTTAATCCCAGCACTCAGGGAGTAGAGGGAGGTGGATCTCTGTGAGTTTGAGGTCAAGCTGGTCTGCATAGCAAGTTCCCTCTTTCAAAAAAAAAAAGAATGGATGTTTTACCAAAGGTCCTAACCAAATTAATACAGCTCAAAAAGAAATGGCACATAGATCCCAAAAAAGTGAACCTTGTCTTTATTCTCAGTGTCATGATTTACAGTACGAGAGGGGGGGGAGAGGGGGGGGAAGAGAGAGGGAGGGAGAGAGACTGGAACTCAGAAGAGAGGGCCAATATATAAAAGTCCATTGTTTGTTCGTGGGTTTTTCATTTTCAGTGTATCATGCATGGGTTTTATTGTGGTACTTCATACAAACATGCAGTCCTTGGTTCTCATTTGTTCCTCTTCCACATGTCCCCTCCACATCACCTACGGAACTGTGACGACTAGTTTCCTGTCTTCCCTACAAAAGCCAGTCTTTTTTTTTTTTTTAACATATATATTCTCCGTGTATTGGTCTTTTGCTTGCAGGTATGTGTGCATGAAGTCATTGGATCCCATGGAACAGGAATTACTGACAGTTGTGAGCTGCCACATGGGTGCTGGGAATTGAACTCTGGTCCTCTGGAAAAACAACCAGTGCTCTTAACTGTTGAGACATCTCTCCAGCCCACAAAAGCCAGTCTTATGGCATGCTTGTTTAAACTGCCCAAGATCATGGGTTTGCCTAAATTTCTTCTCTACCACTGATGGAAACAAAGGTTATTTGTATATATTAAAAACAATTACATTAAATTTTAAAATATATACCATTTTCTGTGGCATCCAAGAACATAAATACATATGAATAATTTTAGATCTGTGCTAAAAGCTATAGAATAATGCCAATGTGTTCATAATTGGCTGACTCCAAAGACAGTGATGTTGATTATCTTCATAGTGTGTTTCTTAGGTATTTTGTTGTTGTCGAGGGAGAACACAGGGTTTCACACATGCTAGGCAAGCACTTTATAATGGAATTATATCTCCAGCCCCTGACATTGATCTCTGCACTCAATAAAATCTGAAATTTTCTCAATAAGTTCTTTACATTTTTATTGGTGTATACTCATTGTATTTAGTGATGGGTTGCAAAAAGACTAGTTTTTGTTTTGTTTTTAAGTCAAGTCTTGCTAATGTAGGTCTGGTTGTCCTGAACTTTTACTCTCTAAACTGGGCTGGCCTCAAACTCCCAGAGATCTGTCCATCTCTGCCTCCTGGGTGCTGGGATTAAAGGTATGCTCCACTTTGCCCAGCTACATAAAGACATTTTCATGTATGTACTTTGTTCAATAGAAACTTCAAAAGGCCTTTTTGTAGAAACTTGTGTGCTGCTTATGTATCTATGAAAATGCAAAGAATCTAAAATAGTTAAAAGTCTTGTTTTTAGCTTTTTAAAAATTATTTTATGTGTATGAGTGTTTTTCTCATACATACATGTATGCACAACTTACTTGTCTTGGAGGCCAGAAGAGGGTATCAGATCCCTGGAACTGGAGGAGACAGTTGTTAGCTACCCTTTGAGTCTTGCAGTAGCAACAAGTACTCATAGCCACTGACTGAACCATCTCTCCAGCCCCTAAGTTTTTTCTTTTGGTGCCCAGGATGGAGCATGTAATAGCCACCTGCTCTACCACTCAACTATACCTTCAGCCTTAAAACTATTTAAAATAAAAAGACTGGCTGGGGCACTAATGCTACCTGATCTCAAGATTTGCTGTCAAGCCCATGTAGCTCTAGCTCTAGGGCAGCTGTGCAGACCAGTGACATGGAAGACAGTCCAGAAAGAGATGGACTTATATGATCTCTGGACAACAAAGATCCCAAGATCAGTACGAGGAAAGGGTAGTCTCTTTCAGAATTGGTGTTGGAGGAACTTGCTAGGGCAAAAAGCAGAAGGTGAAGGATCAACTTGAACCCTTCCTACTATATAAATAAAAATGAACTCAAACTAACATAATAGCACATGCCTGGAGTCCCAGATTCTCAGGAAGCAGAGACAAATAATCACAAGTTCAAGGCCATCCTTTGCCATATGAGATGGAGTTCATGACCCCTGGGGAAATCAATCCAGACTATAATTAGTTAAATTTATTAAAGCTGCTAGCAGGACAGTACTTACTGAGCTGAGCTGAGATTACTTTGTGAAAGGGGGTGAGGGAAGGGGTTTTTAAAGGGGAAGACCTTGAATGTCTGCATAAGTAAAGCAAGAGCTGTACTGCTCTGTCAAGATCATGTAATCAAGATGACCTCAAAATAGTCCTTGAAGGCCTACACAAGCAGGTTACAGAAGCCAAAAAGCAGTCACGTTGTTGCTTTATCATTTCAAAGCAGGTTTCTCTATGTAGCTCTGGCTGTCCTATAGACCAGGCTGGCCTCAAACTCAGAGATTCACCTTCCTCTACCTCCCAAGTGCTTACAGGCATGTGCCACCACGCCCAGCCAATGTTGTATATTTTTCCATGGGGGTGACTAAGTCAGGGTTACTGGGAACTTATCTTCCAGAGACTGGAGTCAGAGACAAATGGCTAGTGGGTACCAGGATTGATGCCTAGCATAAAGAGAGTTTCATTAGCAATCACCACACCATCTCAGAAAAGTTAACTCAAAATGTATCATACACCTAAGAGCCAAAGCTAAAATTAGAGTCAGGTGTGGTGGTGCCCACCTCGAATCCTAACACTTGGGAGAGAAAGGCAGAAGAATCTTGAGTTCAAGAACAGCCTTGCTACATAGCAAGACCTTGTCTCAGGAAGGAAAAAAGGGAGGGAGGGGAGAAGGGAGGGAAAGAAAAAAAGGAGAGAGAGAGGGGCGGAGGAAGAGAGAGAGAGAATACATAATTTGGACTGAAAAATATCTTTGGAATACTTATATCTGACACAAAACAAACATCCATTATATATAAAGAATCTCTCGGCTGGACAGTGGTGACAGACACCTTTAATCCTAGCACTTAAGAGGCAGAGGCAGGCAGAGCTCAAGGCCAGTCTGGTCTACAAAGTGAGTTCCAGGACCAGGACAGAGAAACCCTGTGTCAAAAAAACAAACAAACAAAAAAAAAAAAAAAAAAAAAAAAAAAAGGGGGGGGAGGCGGGGGGGGGGAAACAGGAAAGAAGAAAATGCCACTTTGCTCATAACCAATAATCACTTTAATATTCAACATTCCTCATCATCATGGAAATGTAAATTAAAAACAACAATGAAATGCCAGCCACAGGCTCAGTGGGAAAGCATTTCCTTGGAGGGAAAGAAAAACAAGATGAAATACATCCTCTAGAATGGCTAAATGTAAGAACCCCAGCAATGCCATGTGTTCTGAAAGACGCAGAGCAGTTACAACTTTCATACCCTGTCGGTAGAATGGAAGGAAGAAAGTCATTAGCAATGCTTCCTGACAGACGGCAAAGAGTCTCTAAGAGGCAAAGACTCAGTAAGTCCAGGCTGGCTGTGAACAGTGGCTCGAATAGAGATGGTTTCCTTCGGGGTCAACAGCAGCAGCTTCACCTGGAAACTGGTAGGAAATGCAAATTTTCTTGGCCCCGCCTAGAGCTGCTCAATGGGAACAGTACAGGTGTTGAACAACAATCAAATCCCAGGTGATTCCAGCGCAGGAGGGGAGAAAGGAGCAAGAAGGGCTACTTCTTTAAGGCTAATTAATTGGTACCTCCCGCTCGTCTCCACTCCTCTTCCCCAGGCTTCTTAACACCCTGGTGTGGGAAGCTGGCCCTTAGGTGAAGCTGGAAAGTCAGATAAGGACCTGCAATTGGAGGTAAGACCCATGACTGATAGCACAGTAAGCTTGAGCACCGGATGAGTGGGACTTGGATCCCACCGGACACACACCTGATGCCTCCTCCCTCTCCATACTGGGGTTCCAGGAGGGCCCTGAGAGCTGTCAGATAGTCCCTCAGCAAACTTCCCAACTTGGGCTAGACAAAATCACCGTCCACTCCATTGCTGTTTTGAGTGTTTGTGTCTCAGGTCCGGGGATGCTCTGGTCAGTTGCCTCGGGTGGGGATGGGAGTGTGAGGGGTATGACTTGACCTCTAGGAGTTTTCAATGGCTATTGGATTCCCCCAGGCACAAGCAAACCTTCCTTATGGGAAGCCATGAGCTTAGCTTCTGTATTACTCAGGAGACAGTGAGAACAGCTGAACTCCAAAGCAGGGACCCAGGACCCTACTTTACTACAGACTCACTTCTGTGTCCCAACACCTCCTCCACCAAGCCACCCAGCAAAGCTCCATGAGTCACCACAGCTCCAGCAGTGGGTCAGAAAACACAGCAAAGACCATGCTCTGGGGTAAGGGTAAGGCTGTCCCCAGCAAAGGTGGAAAGGGGTTGCTGGTGAACTGTACCTCTAACATGGAGGAACCCATGAGCCTCCCAACCCCATGCTGCCATCTTCCCTATACAGGCTGTGAGCTCAGTCAGGAAAAGCAGACTTGCACCTTCAGACCCCAAGGGGAGAAGAAGGACAGGTGTAGGCTGTCGCTGAGTGCGGTGGGTATCTCGCTCAGCATGGTGGGTATCTCCCAAGGAGGGGGGAAGGCTGGGACAGGAGTGACTTCTCTGGTCTCAACAGTTAAAAGCTTTCTCCCATCAACCTTCTCAGATCTGCTTGGGGGAGAAAGCCAAAGAGGAGGTGAATCGTGTGGAAATCCTGCCCTCCTCAAACCAGGAGGACAGAAAATCACCAGTCACCATTGCCTCATTGAGGGCCTCTGTCCTGCCTATGGTGAGTTCCCTTCAGGCCCAGGGAAGCTATCACTGCTCAAGTGTCATCCTCCAGTGGGCCTGGGCATAACTGTGGGTGCCTTCATGCCCTGGGCTTATTATAGCCATGCTAGGAAGGCAGCATAACCCTGACCACAGTGAGAATCCATCCCAATTCCTGCTTCCTAGAGCCTTACAAATAAGAGCAAGCCAAATATCCTCTCAAACAGTGTTGTGTTTAAGCCATTTATTACTAGTCGCCAAGACGTTGTCAGTAGTTTGTATTTGGGTTATGTGTCTGGAAATTCCTTTCCTTCTAGTAATATACTCATACTGTCCACAGTTAATCATTGTTTGTGAATAATGACAGGTTTGTAGTCTGGAAGTTTTTTAAAATTCATTGAGGGGTGGGAAGAGTGTGTGTTCAGGCACATGGGCCATGATACATGTGGAGACCATAGGACAACTTTCAAGGATTTGAGTCTTTCCTGTTGTGGGTTCCAGGAATCAAATTCAGGTTGCCAGGCTTATGCAGCAAATGCTTTTACTTGCTGAGCCATCTCGCCTGTCCTTGTTTGTTTGAGACAGTGTCTCATGTTGTATCAGGTAGCTTCAAACCTACAATTTTCCTGCCTCATCCTCCCTGATGCTGGGATGATGGTGTGTGTCACCACACCAGGCCCTTTTCCCTTGCTTATAACCGCACTACATTGCTCCATGGGCTAAGGCTTTTGGTATAATTACAAATACTCCCTGACGTAAAACTGAACTTGTAAGTTGAAAAGATCAAAACTGGGAAACGCCTTTACTATGCTTATCCCATGGAGCATCCTAGTTTAGCACCATGGCAACGCTGTAGAAAGCATCACTCTTTTGTCTTTGAGAAAGCAGAGAAATCATGGTCATTGCCATGACCCTGACTACACAGGATTTTATCACGTATCACTGGCCTAGGAGAAAATCAAAATTCAGAATTCAGGTGTGTTTTCTACTAAATAGGCTTAACCTTTGCATCACTGTAAAGCCAAAACTGCAGAGTTATTGGGATTAGATAAATGTAAACAGTTGATGTCATTCCTCTTCCTTAATTTTAAGATGGAGAGCCATGAAGTAATTGTCAGATGCCTTTTACCAAATGAATGAAGCCCCCATCTAGGGGCTGCAAGATTTTATTTTTATGCATGAATAGGGAGTTAAATGTTACCAAATGTTTTTTTTTTAAGATTTTTACTTATTTTTAGTTTACATGTGTTTTACCTGCAATATGTCTCTACACCACATTCATACCTGTTTGCCACAGAAGCCAGAAGAGGGCCTTAACCTGGAGTTGCAGGTGGTTGTGAAACATCATGTGTGTGCTGGATCTTCAGCTGGACTCCTCAATAGCCAACCCAACTTGTCCAGCCCCTCAAATGTCCCTGATTCCCCCAATCCCAGGTTCTTCCTCCATTATTCCCTCAACATACCATCATGTTGGTAAAATAATGTCTGAGCCTTTTGGGTTCCTTACTTGATCATGTGAACTCTCAATTCACTTTAATATGTTGACGTTTTGTTTTGTTTTGTTTTGTTTTGTTTTGAGACAAGGTTTTTCTGTGTAGTCCTGGCAGTCCTGGAACTCCATCTGTACACCAGGCTAGTCTCAAACTCAGATCTCTGCCTCCCAAGCCCAGCTTGACATCTTTCTTTTTCTTTTCTTTTCTTTTTCTTTCTTTCTTGTTTGTTCGTTGGTTCAGTTTGGTTTTGGTTTTGGTTTGGTTTTGGTTTTTGGTTTATTGAGACAGGGTTTCTCTGTAGCTTTGGAGGCTGTCCTGAAACTAGCTCATGTGGACACAGGCTGGCCTTGAACTCACAGAGATCTGCCTGCCTCTGCCTCCCTAGTGCTGGGATCAAAGGTGTGCACCACCGCAGCCCGGCTTTGACATCTTTTTAAGGGTTCCCTCTGGGGGTGGGGGTGGGATGAGAGTGAACACGCATGCCACAGTGCTCACATGGCCATCAGAACAGCCTTGTGGAGTAGGTTCTTTCCTCAAGCCTCTGTGAGTTCAGGGATTGGACTCTGGCTTTGGAGCTTGCTCAGCTAGTGCCTTTGCTCACTGAACCATTCATTCTACCAGCTGAGCCATCTTGCTTCCTTTCTTTCCTTTTGTTTCCTGTTTTTTGTTCTTTGAGACCAAATCTACTGTGGCTCAAACTGGCCTCAAACTCTCAGTGGCCCTCCTCCCCAGTGCTGGGATACTGGGATGCACCACACTGCTGGCTTCCTTTTTTTTTTTTTTTTTTGTAGTGAAAAGCAGAAAAGAGATGTAGTCAGTATGGACACATTGAGAAGAGGGATACTTGTGTGTTTGGAGTTGTTTTGTTTTGAGATGGTCTCCTTCACGTCACTCAAACTGACTGAACTTTAAAATCCTCCTGCCTCTGCCTCCTTAATGCTGGGATAACAGCTCTGTGTGACCAATCCCTACCAGGGGCCAGACTGAGTTACCTGTGTCTTCTACATGGCTCTGATGTCCCTTCCCACCACAGGTCACATTGACAGGTGTGGAACTTAGACCTCCTGTGACTTTCCGGCTCCGGACTGGCTCAGGACCTGTGTTCCTCTGTGGCCATGAATGTTATGGTAAGTTGAGGTGTCGTAGTCACCTGAAGCCCCAAGAGATTCTTCACTCTTTTCTCTAGATCTTCCAAAGGCAAATGACGGCCAGTGGCCTGAACTAGAAGGCTAGAGCCCTGACTCTTCACTTGCCTTTCTGTGTCTTCGGTGGGTCTCCGGCCTCAGGTGTATCATAGAGTTGTGTGGCTCCTGTTTCAGCTTCAGAGACTATTGTAGGGTAAACAGGCTCTTCCAAGACTCTTAAGCTGGGCATGGTGGCACAGCCTGTGTTCCCAGCTGAAGGCCCTCTCTACAACAAGAGAAGCTCGTAACTCTAACTAGTGTTTGGGAGCATTTCAAAGATTGGCTACTAGTAAGCAGGAGGCTATAGAGATACCCTGGGCTACAATGAAGGCAGTTTGCCATTTGTCACCTTTAAGATCCACCCCACAGCCTGGTGATGGTGGCCCATGCCTTTAATCCCAACAACTCAGGAGGCAGAGGAGGTGGATCTGAGTTCAAGGCCAATTTGGTCTTACAGAGTGAGTTCCAGAACAGCCAGGGCTACACAGAGCCTGTCTCAAAAAACAAAAACACCTCATATTAGACCTCACCTCTGAACAGGTTCCACCACCTCAACATAGCACACTAGAGACCAAGTTTCTACTACATGAATCTTTGAGAGCTAAGCCACACTACAGACCCACATTCTATAGCTCCCTCCCTTGCTCGCCTGCTTCAGCCTTGTCCCAGCCAATTTGCAATACACATCCTCCTCCTGCCTGCCCTCCTTCCCCTAGCCTCCATAGAGATTTCCTGTCCCTTGCTTCACCCTGGCCCCTACTTTGGAGAAAGGGACAGAAAGGAGATAGCTCCCTGTAGAAGATGAACCCTCTCTCTACCAGTGCTTGCCTGGGGATGAACTCAGAGCAGCAAGGGTTGGTGGGGGGAGGAGCTAGGCACTAACCCTGTAGCTCAAATGTTCTGGGTTTTACACATCCTGCCCTATTCTGCCTACTTCCCATACCATCACAGAGACTTCAGACATATCCTGGGAAGACGACGAGGAAGAAGAGGTAGAAGAAGAGGAGGAAGAGGAAGACGAAGATGAAGATGTGGATGTATCACTAGAAGAGACACCTATCAAACAAGTCAAAAGGACAGCTCCCCAAAAGCAGATGAGCTTGGCTAAGGTTGGGGAAAAGGAATGGGATGGGGCACCAGGGCCGGAGCTGGGCCTCCCAGGTTAGGCATTTGGGACCAGTCAAGACCACCACCCCTCAACTACTGCAGGTCTCAGCTGGGACAGCTCAGTATACAAGAGTGTGTTCTGGTTCTGGGTCTTGGGGTTAACTCCCAAGTAACATTTGGCTTTTGTTCCCAGAAAAAAAAGCTAGAAAAAGAAGAGGAGCAGGCTGTAAGGTAATTCACACTGTTAATTCCCCACCATGCCACCACCAAGGATTGCAAACAAGGCTTCTGGCACATTAAACAAACAGGGTACCACTGAGTTGCAGCCCCAAACTTTGTGTTTGGCTTGTTTGGTTTGAGACAGGGTATCATTAAGTTACCCGGGCTGGCCTTAAACTTACTGCATAGCCCTGTGGCAGACCATAGACCTGCTTCAACCTCCCTAGAAACTGGGATAACAGGCAAACAGCAAAAGCTCTTCTATAAGATAGCTAGCCCTGAGAAGCCAGTACAAGCAATGTGCTTACTTCCATGCACACATGCAAATTCAACAGCCCTGGAGGTTGGCACAGCCCTTGAAGCATGAACAATCCTTCTGACCTGACTCTACCTGAGGTAATCCCCTCTCCAGAAAAGAACTCACTTCAAGGTCTACACTCAAGCTCATACTGGTCTTACCCAGCAGTCTTTGGAAACAGTGACATTCTAAACGTCTGCCAGTAAGAGTTAACCAAACAGTGTCCCACCATTCTCTTTTCTTCTCTCTGGTGCAAGGTAAATGGCTTTGGAAGTATGTTAACAACATAGAAAGGGGTAAAATTAAGAGACTAGGGCATGAAGTCATGATTCATGTTCATTTCATGTCTTGTATTTTAGGAACAGCTTGGCTAGAGTTAAAGATTAACATTGGAAAGCAATGAAAAGTATAAGTAATTTATTCTCACGTCTGTTTGCTAAATTATGTGCAGTGAAGTTAATGTTACTTTTTTTTTTCTATACAGGGTTTCTCTGTAGCTTTGGAGTCAGTCCTGGAACTCACTCTGTAGACCAGGCTAGCCTCAGACTTACAGAGATCCACCTGCCTCCCAAGTGCTGGGACTAAAGGTGTGCACCACCACTGCCCGGCTAATGTTATTTTTATACTTAAAAAAAAAAAAAAAAGTATTATAACAGCTCTTCTTAAAATGTATTCAAGGAACAGCTTATTTATCAGAACCAACTGCAATAAAACACCAGTCTCATACAGAACAATGACTACCAGAAAGAAAACCACCAAGCCCCTCCACCTGAAAACGCACCAAGACAAAGCCTTGATGTTTTAAGGCTGTCAAGGAAGCCCTGTGCTAACCAGAAACTCGCTTAATCCAGTCCAAACCTCCACCCAAGTGGAGAGAATGCTAAGTCCTCTAATCAGCCAGCACCAGGGGGACGGTGTGGTACACGTGAAGATCAGTGCACCTGAGGTTTGTCTAGACAAAATACTGGAGAATCTGCAAACGACAGATGGGGTGCAACGATGGCAAACTCTGAGAAAGTGGAAAGGTGAAGACTCTTTCCCTCTTTGCCCATGTAGGCACAGAAGTCCCAAAGCAAGAGTAATCTTCAGGGTTAAAGCCATTAATGTCAGAACAGCAAGTACAGCCATAAACAATCCACTTAGGTGATGGACATCCCAGGCATGTTTTGGGATCCCTGGGAGTTCTGGAGTCTCTGGTTTGTAACTCTTGAGGACAGATTGCTTCTGCATCCCCCACCCCAAGAGATCAACACAGCAATTGTGTTAACAACCCTCTTAATTGTACCAAAATCCTGTCCAACTAGTGTAACCAAAAATCCTTGATCAGCCTGGCCCAAGGCTGAAAAGAAGGAAGAAAAGAAAGGAAAAGAAAAACATTTTAAAAGTCTGATTGTGGTAACACACGCCTTTAATCCCAGCATTCAGAAAGCAGAGGCAGGTGGCTTTCTGAGTTCTAAGCCAGCCTGGTCTACATAATGACTTCTAGGACATTTGGGGCTATATGATAGACCCTGCCTCAAACAAACAAACAAATGAAAATCTCAAAAAACACAAACAAAAACAAAAAAATGTATTTTAAGTATATTGTCTATTGAGTCTATACCCATACTTCCCAACCATCCCTTTTATCACCATCTCCCTCCTGTTATGAAAAAAATACCTTTTTGTTTTGTTTTTCAAGGTAGGCATTCTCTGTGTAACCCTGGCTGTCCTGAAACTTACTCTGTTGACTAGACCTGCCTCTGCCTCCTCCCAAGTGCTGGAATTAAAGACATGTCTCCACAAACAAAAATGCATACAACACCACGGCCAGGCAAAAGACATTTTTTTTTATACCTGAAAGAAAACCAATAGTTTTAAGAAAACTGTCTTAAAGAGACAAAACAAAAAGGTAACAGAGCTGAGGCTGAGCTCAGGGGCAGAGGGCTTGCCTAGCATGCTGGAAACCTAGTCTGTTCCCTTCCCCAACACCACAAAAAGTTAGACTCAAATGTGGGCTGGGAATATAGCTCAGTGGTGGAGTGTTCCCCTCAAATGCATCCTTAGTGCTGCACATAAATAAACACAAGAAGGGTCAGAACGCCGGAGGGTGATGGAGCAGAGGGACAAGTCTGCACTCAGCTCTCTGGGCCAGCCCCCTTGTCTAGATGAACTACCCCATATGTGGTCTAAAGCTGCGCTCTCTTGCCCACCCTGTTCCTCTTCCTTTCCAGGCCCAGCCCTCAGGACAAGAGCCCCTGGAAGAAGGTGAGCTGGTGCTGGCCCTGGGGAAGGCTGCCAGGGAGGGAGGGAGAGGGCGCCCTTCAGTCTCTCTCATCTGTACAGGTGAAAGCTACACCCAAACCTAAGAAGTCAACATCCAAGAAGTGAGGCGCTCCTGTGCCGAGGGAGGGTGTCTACAAGCTCTGCTGTGGTTCAGGTGCCCAGCCCCTCCACCTGAATCTAAAAGCAATAAGGTGTTGTGAGGGCCACACAGGGGCCCTACAATCCCTTCGATTTCAAAAGGCTCTTGGAGAAGAACCCCCACAAGCATGCATAAGCCACAATAAAATTTGCACAATCAGAGCCTCCCTCTGCCTTTCCCCAGGTGGGTCTCCTTTTTGCTGCACTAGCTCTTGTGCCCAGCAGAGAGCAACCGTGAGCAAGAAACTGGCCCCACGTTGCCCTTCCTAGGTTCAAACGTTTCCAATCCAAGCTTGAGGCCTCAGTCCTATCAGGTGAGCTGAGGCAGGTGAGGTTCACAAGTGCAAAATTCTAGGACCCAACCAGCTTTTGCTACCAGTAAGGACCTGACCCAGGCCCAAACTCTGCTCCATTTCTCAGCTCTTATCAGGTAATTGTCACCAATGGGACAACCACTGGGAGACAACCTAGGCTACTACAGTTGAGACTAAGGCCCATATGACACTTAACAGGACACAGGCCTGTTACAGGGTGAAGCCAGCTGACAACTGGAAAACAGTGACCACTGACTACTGCATGGCTCTGGCTCCCTGTCCCTGTTAGCATGATAAGTTAGCTTTGGAGCCTATTCACTGAGAGGTGGCCAAGACGCCATCCTTGATTTGAGTGGGACACAAGATAATCCCAGGGGTTGTGCTTGTGGACTAACCTGTACTAGGCTCTTCCTGCTCCACTCCAGCACCCCTATAGGCCAGGCCTGAAACAAGCTGGCAAAGAGCTGTCCAGGACCCCCACATACGAGTCCAGGAGGTGGCTTCACTGGTGTCAAAGCTGCCCACCTCCACCCCATTCACATCAGCCCGGTGGCAACACAAAGCCAACACCATGATTTCAGCTCCTGGAAGATGCTCTGGAGGAAAGAGACCAGGGAATTAAGAGATCTGAGGATGCCTCTGGGTCAGGCAGCTGACGTGAAGGGGATGGAGGAGGAAGCTAGCAAGACTGTTCCCTTTGAATTCAGCTGATCTGAGGCTGGAGAAGGCTCCAAGTGTCCATCCAGAAGGAAGGCTGCCATGGCAGCAGTAGCTATAAGCTCAGGCTGTACATGCTGTCCTTTAACCACCACAATCACACCAAGGTGGGTCATGCTAGCTTCATTTCTTAAATGAGAACAGAGTCTGCATCCAAGTCACAGAGCAGAAGGGGGAGCTAGAGAGCCTGGCCTCTAGCTTTGCTTTTGACCACTCTGCTGATGGGAGGATTTCCTGCCAGTATACAGGAAATCTTGTAAGCTGAGGGCAGGGGCTAGAGTGCAGTCCTTTGTTGGAGAGAAGCCTATCCATTGCTATGAGCATAAACGGCAGGGACTAGTTCCCCCCTGCAGCCCCAGGCAAGGCTCTACATAGAGGGGCACCTAACAAATATACCAGTGACCACCTGACTGGGTTTTCAGGCCTGCAGTAGGGTCAGATATCAGACCACATTGCTAGGGGTTCCCTTTGCCTTGACCTCCCCGCCACAGCCACACACACTGTGTTCCTATAGGAAAAGGATGGCTAGGCTAAGGCCAGTGGCAGTCTGCAGAGGGGCTGTGCTAACAGCAGCTGAGCTATAAGGCACAGGTGTGAGACAGCCCCACTTGGGGGTGTTAGACTTGGCACTAAGGGGTGGAGAGGTAGTCACCTCTCACTCTGCTTAGCACCTCTCAAAGCACCCCATAAATGTTAACAAACACCCCCACGTTCCCCCAATCAACAAAGAAAGCCTGCCAAAAGTTTAGGTAAACTGAGGCTGAACCACAGAGAGAGCCATTGCCCCCCCCCCTTTCCCCTCCTTGGAAGCATGAATCCTTTGTCTCAACCAACATTCATGATAGCAGCCATTTCCTTTTCCTAAAAGAAGCAGGAGCCAGAAAAACGAACTTTTCAAGTCACATAGCACAGGATGGAGATCAGATCCAGAACCCTGTCCCTGTCCCCCACTCTCCATGCTGCCTTTTGTGATCTGCTACTGCCTCCCCAGAACAGTAAGAGAGCAAACCTAAAAGCCAGGCCTGCAAATGCCAAATAACAAGGGACAAGACATCAAGGCTATATCACATAAACCAGGGTACCCCATATCCCTCTGATGCCAGGCTTTGGCTGAGCCTCAAGACCAAATTTCACTACTGGCATCTGTTACCATGGAGACTTAGCTGCACTAAGGGCCAGCCAGTGAGTGAGTGACAACAGGCCCTGTCCCCAGTGAGAGGAAACAGGGGCTCAGGCTCAGCCTTGAGCAGCTCCCACTGCCTCCTGGCAAATGAGCTCAAGAGCGGAAGGAATTGGTGGCCCGTGCCTGTCCCTGCTTCCAATCGACACCATCTCTGTTGCTTTCCAAGGCTCTAGCTGTCTCCTCCAAGCACCTGAGTCCTCTGACCTGTGAGCCCACCTGAATTGAATTCAGGTGGAGTGGCCTTTAAGCCCCCTGCCTGGGAGCTATGAATCTGACAGAAAGAGGGCAAGTTTCCCTGAAGAGGCAGAGATTGGAGTGAGTCCCCAATGGTGGCAAAAATTTGCAAGGTGGGAGCCAGAGAAATGGCTCTGTGGTTAAGAACACTGACTGCTTTTCCAGAAAACCCAGGTTCAATTCCCCGCACCCACATGGCACCTAACAACTGTCTGAAACTCCAAGATCTGACACTCTCACATTGACATACATGCAGGCAAAACACCAATACACATAAAATAATTAGCCGGGCAGTGGTGGTGCACACCTTTAATCCCAGCACTCTGGAGGCAGAGGCAGGCAGATACCTGTGAGTTTGAAGCCAGCCTGGTCTACAGAGTGAGTTCCAGGACAGCCAGAACTGTTATACAGAGAAACCCTGTCTTGGGGAAAAAAAAAACAAAACAAAACAGTAATGTAGAAGGTGGAAAGGATATGAGGAGGGAGGGTCCTGCAGGGGGGCTGAGACCTGAGCAGGCTCCTTCTCAGAGCATCAAACTGCGTTGCTACACCAACCCCTTAGTCCAGCAACACAGTAACTTGCTGTTAGACATGGGCTATCATTTACCTTCTACTTTTGACTTTTTGTTTTTATTATTTTTAGACAAGGTTTCCCTCTCTGGTCCTGGCTAGCCTGAAACTTGCTCTGTAGACCAGGCTGGCCTCAAACTGAGAGATCTGCCTGCCTCTACCCCCAGAGTGCTGGGATTAAAAGCATGACCACCATGCCCAGCTCTGACTTTTTTTTTAAAGATATGGTTTCATATCCCAGGCTGGCCTCAGACTTGTTGTGTAGCCAGGAATAATGATGACCTTGAATTGATCCCCCAGCTGCTTTCAACCTTTGGAGTACTGGGATTACAGTCCTGCAAACACACCTAGCTCAAGCAGTGCTAAGGACAGCCCAGAAACTTCGTGGATGTTAGGCCAGCCTCCTACGAACTAAGCCACATCCTCGGCCATCCCCCACTTCTAACCTTGTTTAAATTTGATTCCAAATCCCTAGTAATTCCCACCTTCGCAAACACCTCTTCAAATTCACTCCCAGACCCCCTGCAGAGCCATTTTGAGTCTGCAGAAGAGAAGGCGGGGCTCTAAAGGTGCCTGCTACTTACTGCTAGCCGAGCCCCTGGTTAGGAAGCTAACTTTCTAGCTTGCTTGGGGGGCTGGGGAGGGGCGCAGCAGAATGGCAGACCACTTTGTGGATTGCTGGAACTCAAAGAGGTGAGAGGGAAGCTAGAGTGTCACCTTCCCAGTCAGCTCTTCAAACGGCAAAATAAATCCATCTCTGTGCTGCTTTGTGAACTCCAGGGAGCCAGACCTCATTCAGACACCAAGTGCGTCCCAAATCGCTCCTCCTCCATCGCCACCGGCCGCCGTTCTGTAAGGAGAGAACTGGTCACCCGCTCTCAGAATCTCCGCTGTCTGTCACATTATAATCCAGTTAAACCTGTCAAATTCGATGGTGCACACCTTTAATCCCAGCATTTGGGAGATGGAGGCAGGTGGGTGTCTGTGAATTGGAGGCAATGGTCTACACAGTGAATTCCAGGCCAGCTGATGCTGCGTAGTGAGACCCTGTCTCGGGGGAGGGGATGAAGAAAATCCACTAAGGTTTCTGGGCCCTATAATAAAAATAAAACCTGTGGCAGGCTGGTTACATTCCAGGGAACAGAAAGAGCCTGGATTCTGGATATGTGTCGCTTTCAATCACCAGCTAATTACCTCCCCGTGTGCCTGTTTCCTATCAACAACTGCAGTTAATAGCTGGCTTGGGTACCCAGCTACGTGGGACTAGGGGTTATGTGCCCATACTGCTGGGCATTTCATCCCAGGCAACTGCTAGGGGACACTGGTGCATGAGGCCTGGAAGGTTAAGGCTGCGTCTCAACCCCAAAATAAGGCCCAGACGTCTTAGGGATTTCCATGCTGGTTCGCTGTCATCTCATTTGGTCCTCCAGTGCGTCTATGGTTGTCGCATTTTCCGATAGGAGACTGCGGAGGCCCAGGCAAAAGTGACTCCCACTCTTCTGGTGGGGGGGGGCTCTCTCTCAGACCAGTTTTTATCATTGAGATCCTTCCAAGACCCCTAGCTACACCTGACTCCCCACCTCTGGCCCCAACCTGTTGCACCCACTATTCGTAGCCTTACCCCTCCTTCCTGATGGCAAGAGGTGACAGCAGAGAAGCCGAGCCAGCAGCCTCTCAAGCCAAGCCCACCCCTGCTCCCTGGAGGGAGGCTCCTCCTTTTAAGGCTGCTTCTGGGAATTCCCACCCCGAGCCAGAACTCGAGACCCCAGCCCCAGCTCGGTACCTGCGGCTCATTCTTAAGGAGATGAGGTTGGGGCATCAAACCTGAGGGCGGGAGCGGCTGACCCTGAGAGGGGGGAGGGCAAAGCGCCTCTCTCCCTCCCTGTGCCTGCCCCACACCCCGCACTTCACCGAGGCCGGCAGGTCCGTGCGGGTCAGGAATAAATCAG